CAACTGCAACTATTTTTTTTCTGGAGTATACATAATATTGTTCTTTTAGAATAATATAATTAGGAATAAATAACTAAAAATATCTCAATTGAAATAAATCAATATTGATAGCATGTGAATTGATAGAACATAAATTTTTTAAATAATATTATTCGTAGACGTTGAATATAGGTATAGTAGCTGTTATAATAAAAAATCCATGATTAAAAATATATGTGAATTTATATTTAGGTATAAATTAGTTTAAAAATAATAAAGGTTTTTTCTATTAAGTATTTATATAAAATAAAGAGATTATTTATTTATTATTTAATGAACAAAAGAAAATAAAAAAAATGCATCATTGATTGATTTTTCCTATTGAATTTTCTTGATCAATATATATTATTTTATTCTGAAGATCTCTTTATATTGAATTTGTTGTATGAAGAAAACATTTTTCTTTTTATAATCGATAAATAGAAATATTTTTATTTTTAAATGCACTGATAAATAAGTTTTTTTCTTTTTCTATCACAAAAGCAAATAGATTTCTTATTGTCACATGATATCATATGAGAAGATATTCATATGTTTGAAATCTATATAATTATTAAAATTATTTTCAATTTTTATTTTTATGATTATCTAGAAAAATATTCAAAGTGAAATGGCTTCATTCTTATCATTTATTAAATTATTAATGACTTTCTTATGCTTTTTTTGTGATGATTTACGCAAATCCAATAACACCAAATAATAATTGTGTTCCATTATATAAACAATGTAAAACTCAAGATAAATGTTGTGATGGTGAATGTCAAACCGTTGGTAGATATCAAATGTGTTGGAGTCCACCTTGGGGAAAACGTTCGCTTTAACATGTTTTTCTTTTATCTTTAAATTAAATTAATATTCGAAAGATGAATTTTTTCAATGAAGTGTTATTTTATTCATCTATAATAAATAATATTAAATTATTATTAAAAATAAAATATATAATGAAGAAGCAATCTTCTAATAATTTATTAAATTCATTTTATTTTTGCAGCAAATTAAATATTCTCAGTGAGGTAAATCATTGAATAAATTAATTTAAAATGAGATTATTCATTGCAATACAGGTTTTAGGTTAGTTTTTAAAAATATTTTGACAAGGAAATGTCTCAGGGTGTGTTGTCGAGTTTTCTCGTAAAAAGTACATAGGTTTGTCAAGTCAGATGCTCCAATTTTAAAAAGTAAAAGATTAATGCTGAGGCTGTTTTTGGAAAAAGTTATATTCAAAATATTCTTTGACTGATTATCATGCATAGATAAATATAGGCGTATTTTTAAAGAATTATGTAGTTTCTTCTTTAGAAATATTGATTAAATCAGAGTTATAAGACGTTTTCTAAAGAGAGAAGTGGTCAAATAACTCACTAATGCTGGAATTTTTGTTAAAAAGAAAATGAAAAAAAAAAGAAAATTTGAATACAATGCTTAGATGTTGATACCTATTTTTAGCTACAATATTCAGTTCTACTTTGAAAAGAACATTATTTCGCGGTCGTAAACCGAACACATCTAGCGTAAAGAACTGATTCTAAAACTCAACAATCAAAATTACTATGGACAGACAAAAATAGATATGACAGGCAAGAACGAATCAATTTGTCTGATAGATGGACGAAGAAAATCTTTACTGCACTCAATGTATTATTTTCGTTTTTTGATGATATAAAATCTTACTGATCATTTTTATCAAGCAGTGAAATCATTTTCCCTTCTTCATATATTTTTTGATACAAAAAAGAATCGCATTATTCAGCTTTGAGATCACTTCTCTCTTTACAGAACATCTTATAACAATGACTTAATCAATATCTCTGAGAGTGAACCCTACTGGGGGTACCTATGCACTCTCAGGGGACCTGGTACTGCTTGCAGTGCTAGGAGGACGTTCTCTGGAGTCCAGAAGTAACTATGTCTCATTTTTGGGCTAGTCACCCGAGTATAAGACGTTAAACGATATCTGACTACAGAAAAAGAACAAACTAAACTTGTTACTACAACCAGGGTAACACTTTTTAGGTCGTTCTAGAAGATTCACCAGGGATCAAGTATTTATATTAAAAACTGTCGATAGAAAGATCATTTAATAGAAAAAAAAGATTTCATAGAATCGATCTATTATTTGGTTTACTCCCGGTTTGTCCTATATTCGTTTCTTGCATAAATAGCTCCTTCTAAATTGATTCTGAACTTGTCCCTTCTTCCATCTTCCTTCATAGATAGTCAAATTTGTATTTAATTCAAAATTTTCAGTTTCGATTGACTTCAGTCAACATCAGCCGGTGATACTGTTTAGTGATCGTACAGCATTCGATCGTTTTTCTGTTTGTTTTCCGTGGCATTTTATATGATGTTCAGTTGGTAGTAAAGTGAGACCGAGCTGTGAAGATTCGGTTATTCAAAAAAAATCATAGTATGCGACAATGCTGTCTAGCTCTTCATCCTGCAGTTTCATTACTAATAAATATTTGTGATGTCAAAGTTTCATATTTTAGATGATTTACTTCACTAGTAATAATTTAGGGAAGAATTAGAAAAGCAGCCAATTGTAAAATCAATTTAAAACAAGCCAGATGGGTGAAGACAGATTGAGAACATAATTTGAAAGACAAGTTGGAGGTAATGAACAAATATGAGACAAACCGTGAAAAGGGTGAGAAATTCTTATTATCCTAATGAGTTACAATTGTACTGAGTTTCACTAGCAAAGCTGCGATCTTAAAATGTGCAAAATTCGAAAAAAAAACAGAAAAAAGTACCAAAATGAGAAAAATGTTCAAATTTCAGAAGCTTTCTCTTTTTTTCAGAAGATCTTGCAACCCTGATTTTGAGTCAAATTTAACAATACGAACATTACAATATCCATCAGCAACATATATATTTGAATTTGAATCATCATCAGCAACAAATGATTCACCTAATGTTAATACACATTCACCTTTCGAATATATAAATACCTATTTCTGTGTTACCAATAATTTGTTTTTTTTTTCAGTTTTAAATCGATTAGCTTTTCTTATTGTTTACCTGATGCATTCCAACATCTGTTAACAAAATATTTTCTTCAGTATCAACCGAAAGACCAGAAGGCATATAAAATCTTTAAATTGAATAATCAAATTTATTTTATTTATTAATATAACTGACAAAATTTATGTATTGTCTCCCAATTGATCAATTATTTGACCAGTATGAGTATTGACCGTAAGAATTGTATTCTCGGGTATAACACCAAATTTATTCTTATCAAAGTTCACATCATCAGGAAAAGATCTTTAACCAACTATACAATTATCATATCATCAATTTTTTTTTCGCCTTTCTCTCTCTTTAAAGAAAAAAAAAACGATTTATTTTTTCTTCGTTGATCAAGATTTTCTTTTTATAAATTGAAGATATTTATTTCGAGAAGTTGAATCGTTCAAGAAATCATATAAGAACTTTAATTCGATTTAATAGAATATCGAAACATTTTCACTCAATTCGAACATTCAAATCACATAACATAAAAATTAGGATCTATTATCCGTTTCAAAATATAATGTTCTCCACTGTTTTTTGAATAACTTTTCATTGGAACATTGTAGAGACCTGCGGTTTTCGCCATTCGAGAGAGGACACCGGGGGACATCGAACCATGTTCGAAATTTGATTGGTCAGCTATTAGCCAATCAAGTAAGTTGTAGGTGAAACTTTTGTGAACGATATTCCAAAGTGATTTCTATTTTGATTTTGACTTGAAATATAGTCACTCGATAGAGAAAATTACTCTCTTTCGATCTGCGCAAGGCCCAGCTCTCTACATTGTTCTGTTTATGAGTTATAGACGTTTTCCTGAGACCCCCGAAATCAGTCAAAGGACCTCGGACCAAGCCGATATGGGTCAGAACAGAGGTAATCGATCACGCTGAGTTCAATGGCGACGTTGGTGTTTAG